GCACAGGGGCCATGCTAATCATTCCCTGTATCGTTCCAATTTTAACGGATGTCCCGAAGTACAGCGGTCAGTGGATGGCCCTAAGATACTATCATAGGACTGGCTGGTCCCAGGTAATTCTGAATAATGTTATTCTGGTCGTGAACTGGTATCTGGTTCGAACTCAGGCCTGTATTTCAAGTGTTCAGATGTGTATCAACTGAGCTTCCATTCCTCACGGCTGTTCCAAAGGACCGGGGGGCAGCCCCTGAGATAACTCTATAGGACCGACGAGTCCCCAAGAACCCAAGTTGTTGTATTTCACTTAGCTGTACACATCGGAGTTCGAATCAGAGGTCTGTTTTTCCATAGTTGGTGGCTGTACCAATTGCGCTGGGCCGTGGTGCTGGTCCCACATGCCTATTCTTTCAACAATTCGAGGGTGTACCAACTGCGCTGGGCCGTGAAGGCCTATTCTCTCAGCAGTTCGAAGGTGTACCAACTGCGTTGGGCCGTGGTGGCCTATTCTCTCAACAGTTCGAGGGTGTACCAACTGCGCTGGGCCGTGGTGCTGGTCCCACATGCCTATTCTCTCAGCAGTTCGAGGGTGTATCAACTGCGCTGGACCGTGGTGCTGGTCCCACAGGCCTACGCTGGCCGGCACCCTACCTCTATTAAGGAAGGTGTCGACGCTGTTGTAATTTACCCCCGTCTTGGTGGAGATACTCAACTCATGTCCGTCCGCTCCTTGCTCAGCAAGCTCAAGCGCTTTTTTTGTTTTCTTTTTGAAGTTTTTTTTGGTACTTCTTCGCTGTGCCGAAGCCAGTTTCCGGCCTGGTCAATGGACAGAAAAACGGAGAAGAGTAAGAAAAAAAAATAAATAAAAAATAATAATAATAATAATAATAATAATAATAGAGTTGAAGAGGACGAGGATCTACCGACCCCCTCTTGGCTTTGCTAGTCGAACCCAGGTTTGGGCCCGTCTGGTACAACCAAGGGGGATAGTCACTTAAGACCCTCGACCCCTCAGTCTCCGCTTGTCGCACTTCTTTACTCCATCGCCGCTTGCTGGCCTTGAACCCCAAACCTGTCACTCGAAAGTCCGATATCGTAACCAATAGGGCAAAGCCCAAGTCTGAACTAAGTAGGGGCGAACCCGCATATGAATAGTCGAGGGACCGTGGTCGGTCCTTCCCGCACAAACCAGGCCTCCACCTCGCTCTATCGGCAAGACGCCGAGATGCCGCCCGCGCCTAGGATCGTAGCTACTTGGGATCTTGGTCGTCGGGCACTCGACATATTTTCGTCTAACTTTCGACTTTCCCTCATACTAGGTTTGCCAACGCCATGCGGCCCGTGCCTTTTGACGCGTCATCCAACATAAACCTCCTGCCTGTGTGCAAGGTGAAGTTTTATTCTCTTCGCGGCGTATCCCGCCTGAGGCTGAACTAGTTACGAAGTAAATCTAGCTTTTATAAAATAAAAGAAGAATCTAATCAACAAAAATAAATTACAGAAGGAAGAGTAACCGGACCTCATGGCTTTGGCGCCATTTTGCTAGCCTAGTATTGTCGATGACTACCGGGCACCTCACGGTGCCACTCAATAATGCGTGCCCCACACACTCTCTTTCTAGCCATATTCGATTCGGAGTTCCGCCAAGAGCGAGGCTGCCGAGATAAGCGCCTTGACGCGTTTTACCTCATCAGCGTATTTCATTGACCAAGGTCGCACTGTAAGGGTGTTTGCTACGACAGTCCTCCCCGACCCCATTAAGTGACGTCCCCGTCGCTTCGGGTAGGGACTGGAAAGTATGAACGAAATCACAGGTGAATGCATAAACTGAGTAGATGGATAACCAAATCCGTATCATTGGAAGGACTCAGCTTGGAGTTTGGTATTCTAGTTCTGCGGCGTCCCTATGGCGAGCAGGAGTCCAACCTGCGCCTCCTGTTTGACTCACAGGGATACTTTCGTTATACTACCGCCCTAGGTTAGCTTCAGTGTTCAAATACCAACCCCTTCCATTTGTTCTAGACGCCTTCCGACTTTCGTTGGGTGCCGTCTGAATCGGGTTGTCAAGTAACCGTCAACTTTGGGCGCGGGTTTTAGCCACGACAACTGCCCTGAGTGGGACAAACTGCAGCACACAACAAGCGCAGGTAGCCCACCCCTTCCGAGTAGCTTAGCAAAATCAAAACATACTTCTTTTTGGTGGATCATTTTGCAATCGAAGAAAGTAGCGTACTCCTTTGGGTGGTTTACCATATAAAACACACCCCCTCGAGTAGCTCAAACTTTCGACAGACATAGTGTTGCACGTAGCTCACTCCATGCAATTTGAACCAAAACTTAGCCCGACCTTGCGTCTAGTCAAAGGTGGGTTTATAGTCCTGCCCTCAGCCCACCATAGTTTGGATGATCGGGCCAAACTACGGTTCATCGCGCCATTAAGCCACGATGTTGCCTACATTGCTTGCTCAATGCTAAGGCGACTCTCTGACTTTTGGACCTAAGTACCCCCTAGCCGTGACCCTAATTAGATTCTTTGGAGTGACCCGATACTTGGCTTAAATTTTTAGCCCTCCCATATGACGGTTATAATAAAGATAGTAATAATAAAATTAATATTAATAATAGCAAGTAATAATTAATAATAGTAACCATAATAGCCTGTTTATATAATTATATATCATGGATGATGGTGCAGGTCACTCCGCCGTCTCTAAGTTCAGGCTAAGCTAGGGGTCCGCTGTCCTGGTTAGGCAGGACAGCAGCCCACGTTGGCGTCGTTGGGGGTTGCCCCAACGATGCCGATTTTGCCTCCGGCTTAGGCCTCCCAAAATACTATTGAGCCAGTTTTCAATGCCTGTAGTTGTTCTGCGTGATCATGGCAGATGCGACCACCGGACCGAGAGCCTCACAAACAAGTTTCTCTTTCGAAGAAACTGCTCATTATATAAATACCTCTTCTCAAGCTTGGTTATCCACCGACAGTTTTCTGCAAAAATCAAAGTTTTATTTATCCTCACGGAACAAGTTATAATCCTAAATTTTTACTTTCATCCCACATACATAAACAGGTGGCCCCTCAAACGGCCCCGTCCTCTGAGACATACGAGTGGCTCCTCAAGCGGGCCCCCTTCCCATCAAACATTTAGGCTGCCTTTCCGATTCAGCCTTTTTCCATGCATTTTTGTCGAACATTTTTTCACTGACTCTCACACACTAATTCATATGCAATCAAAGTCAGTAACCATTTTGTTCAATAATCAAACAACTTACTTACAATCACAAACAGATACAAACATCACACATCCAAGGGAAGTGAGTACACATGCAAAGGAAGTGAGCACAAATCCACAATGTGAGAATATTCCATGGCTCCCTGTTTGCTCACAAGACTCATGTGTCTGAATCAAACCCGCCAATAGGGCATACTCAAACCAAAAATGATCACAAAGGAAAATCGTAACACAATATCGTGTCCCGCAGGATATATCCATAGGTGTGATACCCACAAAACCCCACTCCGGGTTAAGAAGGTATTCTCTCTAGGAGCCCTACCAATCAAAACCCCCTTGCAGAGACTGCACTTCCCTGAATCTCAGAGCTATCATCAAGAATCGAAAGTCTTAAGTGGGTATCACTATCCGAATATCAGAGCAGTGCTTCCGAACGAAACAACGTATCTCACAAGAAACACTCACTAACTCAATGTCCTAACCTAAAATGTCACACTCATATCAAATACACACTAATCTCACACAAAGCTCACACAAAACTCACACAAAACTCACACAAAGCTCACACAAAGCTCACACAAAACTCACACAAAGCTCACACAAAACTCACACAAAATTGGACCCTAAAATCCAAGGCAATCTCTGAAACCCCTACTCAAGCCAACCTACTAAAACTAGTAGTCCATCATGTATGTACAGTCGACCGAAACACATGTCAAATCCAGTCACCAACTACATATAATACATGGCTCGGTCCTGAAGCCTGGGGTCAAAAACTCTCAATACACAAGTCATGAGGTAAACAAGTCCATGCTTCCGAACCCTCAAAGTAGAAGATACTAGTAATATGCAACGAGTCCAATGGTCTATTTCCCATAACAATCACCTCGTCCTCATTGATTCTCTCTCTGACCTCGTCCAAGCGTTTCGTGGATACGCAGTCCATCACTCATCATCTCTCAGCTCCATGCCTAGCCTCTCATACACAGCTCTCCTAGCACCATGACGTCTTCTCGGAAGAAGGGCGCCACACATATCTCTGACTCGTCCCTGTCTGTCAAACTGTACGACTCATCTCCTAAGGTCATCTTGGAAGGCAGGGCAAGCAACCCTGTCGTGCCCTCCTCTGTCACACCATGGGCACATGTCATCAGTGCTACTTTCCTCGATCTTCGCCTTCTTAGGCACGGGTAGGGTCTCAGGTCGTGCCCTCTCGAGACGGAATGTCACATCTTGTACGACTCTATCCACCGTGCCAGGACTCAACATCCTCGGGGCCCTCTCTGTTGTCGCCTCCTCGTCACATCTCTCAGACTCTGAAGAAAGGAGGTGCACTATGTCATCCATCGGCCCCAAAGCTGAAACTGGTGTCAGTGGCAGAGTCGTCAGCAGTAATGTCGCTGATCCGCTCATGTCCTGCTGTGGCATGACATCTCGTGGCTCTAAAATCCTCTCTTGCTCGTCGTGCCTACCACCCATCTCTCGCCATACACCCCCCTGAACAACCAACTCTGAGGGAGGGACCCAGTCCAAACCACGTGCCTCTGCCTCTCTCCTCCCCTCGATCTCGTCTGGCTCAAGCATCACATGTCATCCCCATAGCCCCAAGTGGCTCCTCCGTCGGCGATTCTCGTTGTGGGATATCCGGTCTCACTCCACCTGGCTCTACCTCATGAGAGACATGTGCCTGTCCAAGAGGAATCTGCTGCTCCTCACTCCTCCTCTCGTTGACACATCTGTCGTGGTCTGATGCCTCAAACACTTTTCTAGGTCAGTAATCCTCTGCTCGAGCCTCGAGGTGGACTGTCTTGCCCGCTCGGCGCTGGTGACAAGATCACGTACCGTGTCCCTCAATCCTCTGTTCTCCGGCTCCAGAGTACCGATCCTCTGTACCGCACCCTGAAGCACCTCTCCTCGTGCAACCTCGGTCTTCGTGAGTCTCCTGACATGCTCCATCACTCCCACCAACTCTCGCACTGAGGCATCAAACAACAATCTCCCCTGAAGCCCGTCCTCCGCCTGCGTACGCTCGCCCTCAGGCATAGGCTCCTCTCTTGTCCGTCTCCTCATCCTAACCTCCTCCTGCCATCCAGCTATGGCCGCATCCTCATAGAAGAGTCTCTGTGTCTGCTCCTCATTCTCTCGCCGTAACATGACAAGAGTCGATACCTAGCTCTCCAACTGAGATGATCGCACGGTCTCAAGGACAACCCTGCGCTCGAGCCTATCTCTATCTGTCGCGTCAGTAGGTGGCTCATACTCCCTGAGCATCCTCTGAACCTGGGCTCGCCAATCACTCGCCTCTCTCTCCTGAATCCTAAGGACCGCCTCGGCCTCCTCTAGAGTCTGGACCTCCTTCCCCTCAACAAATATACGGAGATCACTCACCACCTCTCTCAGTGCATCGTGCTCCATCTGTCTTTCGCAACTCAACTCAAAGGATCGGATGACAACTCTCCTCGTGTAATCCCGAACCTGCTCTATCGCCTGTCGAGCTGTTACGAGGCCACTACCAGTATAGTTTCTCTGCAAGGTTAAGTCGTCATACAGTACCCTGAGCCCACTAGTGGTCTGATCAACCGACAAGTGTGGTCTCGCGACCTGGCCCAGTCGCTTAAAAGTCAGCCACCCTGGAAAATGTAATGATGGCATCCGTCCCATCTCCTCGGCTAGCCATGCATCCCCCATGACAGGCTCATGATCTATCGGTCCCCGAGACTCCGGCAAGCTCTCCTCCTCATGAGTCGGAGATGCGTCCTGGGTATGCTCCGCGCCGACCTCAATGTGGCCCCTCATACTGGCCTCAGTCTGATCACCATCTCGTCGTGGAGTATCCCCAAAGTCTAGTGGTGACGTCTCCACTCGCTGGGTCTGCGTGTCCTCCGTGAGACCCTCTCTACCTAGCCACAAAACCTCGGCCTCAACTCGCTCTGTCTCCATGTCCATGGGCGAGGGTTGGGATACCTCCTGTCGCATCACCATCCTAGGAGACTCCATGTCATTTAGCTGGGCAGTCAATGAACTCTCGGGCTCAGTTGGTTTCTCAGCCAATCGACTCTCGCTCAGTAACGACGATCCGCCCAATGATGAGGGTCCCATCGCACCTCTCTCACCATCCTCCACTGCCGGCTCTGACTGAGACTGGACCCTCTGCCCATCATGCCCTAGCTCATCATGCATCGGTGTCGTCTCTCGCGGCCACTCAGGCTGAGGCCCCTCGTGCTCCTGCATCGGTAATATAGTGGCAGGCCCTATCATAAGCGGTAGCTCCCTTTGTGGGAGATCTAATGCCATGTCACGTGTGTCTCTCCATCGATAAGGCCTCTCTGATGTTATATTGGAAACCACTCCCTCCATGGTATTTGTCTCTGTACGCCGGACTGAAGCAATCGTCAACACAAGCCGTGGGGTAGCCTCCTCCCCATCCTGTCCGATCATAGGCTGAGCACCCTCATCCACATCAGGCGCACCTCTAGGATCACAGCCGTTGATCCCTACTTCAGTCGGGGGGGGGGGCATCTCTGGTACTGGTGATGTCCCACTCTCAGGGATAGATGAATCGTCCTGACTCTGAGATCCTATCAGTAAGGTCTCCACCCCCAAATCATATGTGGAGAGCACCTTCCCAACATCACTAGTCAGTACCTGATCCCTCTCCTCAAAATCATCCCCTCGATTCTGACGTTCTCTACGCCTGCCTGTCCTAGACCTGCGTGGAATCTCTGGCTGCCCACTCTCTCTCTGCTGCTGTCGCAATCGCCCCTCATCATCCTCATCTCTCTCTAGCTGCGCTCGCGGGCGTACCCTGAGCTCCGGGATGTAATCCCCAACCTCTCTGCGTAGCCTGCGTCCTCTGTCAGTGGTGAATGCCTATACTGACTGACCCAAGCAGATCTCTCATACCCTCAGACAGCTGACCTGCCTGACAAACTAAAACTCATACGAAGACCTATCTAAATACTAGCACACAATTCTATCCTATCACTAATGCAGAGTACCATCTAATAAGACGAGGAATTGAATTCTATTTCTACTCACGATGTCTTTCCATCGCCCTTACCTTAGTTTCGTGCTTCGAACTTTTTCAGTTTCGAATCGGAGACCCAATCTCTCCACGGCGTGCCGTTAAGCTCTTCAATTTCATATGCTCCATGCTGCCCACACCGTCTAATGCGATACGGGCCTAACCACCGCTTGTCCAACTTGCGCAACCACTGTTTTTCTAGCGACGAGTCGTATAATAGCACCACATCTCCAACTTCCAGTGCCTCCTTCCTGACTCGTGGGAGGAGATCCCACCTCTCCTTGTCCCCTAACCGACTGTCCGTTACTTGATCTGCAGCTTCCTGAATCCTCTCTTCTGCGATGCCAACTTGTTTGGCCCACAAATCCAGCAATTCCTCGAAGGACAAGGTGCTTTCCATATCCTGCCTCCTCCATGTCTTCAGAAAGCTCTCTATCGGGAGGGTGGCATGCCTTCCATACCATAGCGTTGCTGGCGCGTACTTCGTGGATCTCTTAATCGTAATATTTTCGACAAAGAATGCTGCGCGCAGATGCTTAGGCCACTGATTCTCCCTGCCCTTCGTCCATTTCGCCAGTAGATTCGTGATGGTGGTATGCCCTCTCTCAACTGGAGCATTCGCCTGCGGATGTGCCCTAGTCGTGTAGCTGGCTTGTACGCCATACTCTTGCAACAAGATTCGCACTTCTCCACAAGTGAACTCTGACCCTCTGTCCATCACGAATTCACTACGAAAGGATATCTCAGGAAATACTCGGAGATACACAAAACCAATGTTTCGTATGTCTTACTGCGAATGGTTCGCCCATCAACAAACCCCGTAAGATTGTCCCGCTCGTCGAAGATGTAATTGTAGTCGCCCACTCCTTGAGGCATTGCCAGTAGGTCCAAATGGACCACTGCTCCTGCGTCTCGTACAATCCGCGGGTACAATGGCTCCTTATACATAGTCGACGCCCTTATTTGACATGGAATGCACGACTCGCAATACTTGCAAATCATCTCGCTCATTCCTTCCCAATAATAAAGCTCACGCGCCGTCGCATATGTCAAGGCAAATGCTCTGTGACCACCTGCGGGCCCATCATGAAGTGCAACTATAACGTCTATCTGATGATTTCGGCCGCAGATCACCCACCTCGGGTTGCCAACCTCGTTTTTGATGAAAAGGTATCCATCCCGGATTAAAAAGCGAGGTCGCATCTCGAGTACCTTCTTAGTTGCTTCTCTCTCTCTGATCTCACATGAGAGAAGCAAACCTAGTTCACGGTATACGCCTTCGTACTTAGCTGTGCGAAAAACCTCCATTATCTCTCCTTCCTCGAACTCGTCCTCTTCCATATCTCTTACAGGGTCTCGACTCCCTTCTCCATCCTCTTGCACTTGGACAATTGAGTTGACAAGGAAACTCACATCCGCCACATACTTTGTGTGCGTGTCGAGTGAGTAGGCTCCACTCTCAATGACCAATGGATCTTCTCCTAACTGGAAGATCTCAGTCAATGCAAGCTTTGCCATCCATTCAACCTCCTTCCCTCCCCAAGGATCCTCCTCCACGAAGTCCTTGAGGACTATATCTGCTCGCTTTACGTACCCTGCAGGAGCAAGAAAAGCAGACTGCCCTTGCACAATGACTCCACTGACCCTAACGGCATGCGCATTGATGTGGAGCTTCACATCTTCCTCTTCATCGAGGAATGCATCTACCGGAGGTATATCCTCATTAGCTTTATCGCCAGACTTATCCCAATTGATCCGACTAAGTCTGTCAGCCCGATTCTTATTCCCAGGTATGCGTTCCATCTCAAAGTCAAACATCCATACATACGTGAGCCACCTGGCTATGGTTGGGTCTGACGGTGCATAGTTTTTCAAGGAGCTGACCAATGCCGTCGGATCCACTCTCAGTACAAACCTCCTTCTGAAAAGGTAGTTGCGGAACACCCTTAGACAGTGGAGAACTGCCAGTATCTCCCGCTTGAACTGTGAGTAGTTTCTCTCAGTGCCATTCAAGGTTCGACTCTCGAATCTCAATGGCCTCTCTTCACCATTTACATAAGCTTGGATCAGAATGTCCCCCAAGGCTGTAGGCCCTGCATCAGTCTCCACGATGAAAGGAAGTTTTGGCGTTGCTTCGAAGTCAGGAACTCCCAACACCAGACCACCTTCTCTGAATTCCCTTTTTAAACCACTTACCACTCCTTACTGCTTCTCATCCCATTCTCATCTTGATCCTTCCTCACAAGCTTTCTCAACTGCTCTGTCTTCTCGGCGAAGTTCTTGATGAAAACTCGCCAAAAGCCACATATTCCCAGGAAGCTATGAATTTCACTAACAGATTCGAATGGCACCGGCCATTCGAGTATCTTGTTAGTCTTCTTTATGTCAGGGCGACGACCGTTCTCGTTACATACGAAGCCTAATATGGTCGCCCCCCGCATACAGTGTCTCGACTTCAGTCCGCTTGCGGTAAGGTTGTAATCCTTCAGAATGTCAAGAATCCAAGCAATATCTTGTATATGATCTCATACGAATTTCCTTACCCCAGGCATAACCTCCGTCTCATCCTTCTTCTTTCGCCCTTTCACAACCAAATCGTAAATGTATGGTTGCGTAAGATGTGAACTAACCGTCTGCATAACGCGAACCATATGCCTTTGCACCATTGCCACAACATTCGTCCAACCCTGCGGTGCCACATTCCTATGGATCAACCCCCTTGGTGTGTGCATCGCAGTCATAGGCATGTCAGGTGGATACACCGGGAACTGATCGTACCCTGAGTACAGGTCTATCAAGGAAATGATAGGCCGTCTAACACAGGATTCTGACAGCGCGTCTGCGTTCGGCAAACCTCCCGCATCTCGTATCGTTACTGCATTCAGGCGCTGTAGGTCCTGTACCCACCTTAGGGTACCATTCGGCTTGATAAAGCAAAACCATGACGATGCGTAAGGCCCACTTGAGTAGTCGGCTATATGAGAATGAATCTTGTCATCCAAGTAGTCGACTACTCTCCGTTCCTCTGCCGGATTGGGATAGCGTGGCCCTTGCAAGTTCTATGGTACATGAGGCACAGTGTGGATCCGAATCATTGGAACTTTATCCACATCAAGGCGCCCACGCTCATCATCGTAAAACGCATATGCGCGATGCCGCTCCTTCATTACCTCTACCATAAGGGTCTTCTCTTGTGGCGTGAGGAATCGTGGCTCTTCTATTATCAGGTCACCCTCGGTCCTCTCATTGATACGGCACGGCCCATGTTCTGCATCCTCCTTCATTTGCCGTATCAGTTCACGTTCCTGCTCATAGTAGAATTCTTCTTCCGCAGTTATGAAGACAGGAACGGGGTGACTCTTCTAAGTCACGCGCTTGTACCTCATTTTGGAGCCCTGCTTAAGCCCACCCCTAAAAAAGGTTGACTTGCAACACGACTCTGGGGTACCCCTGGTTCTCCTGTCCTTGCCGGCAACCGATACACGAGCTCCACTTCTCCCTCGCCGGAATCTTCCACTATTTTCTCTCTCAAAACTTGTACAACAATGAGATCCGCCATCCCATATGACGACACTATCTTCATTGCGTCGTTGATGCTGGTTAGGCTTAAGCACACCTCGCCCGTAGGCTCACATTCCTCTTCGTCTTCTCCCGTTAATTTCCTCCTCTCCCCTTCGGATTCCTCAAAGGTATAGGAACCTGGGTTTGACCTATTTCTCAAGCTACGAGGCCCTGTATTGTGACAGGTGATAATCTCATAATTGCCGCAAACTGGATCACTACGGATGACGTACATTGTGCCGTCATGCTTGTTAAGTATCATTGATTCAGTGCGGCAAAGGAATGACCTTTCCAGCAGGAGAGGATGGTCCAAATCGGGCATAACAAAGAAGCAGGACCGCACCTTCACTTTCCCGATTTCAATCACCACATTCGACGTTGTGCCAGTAAAAGGAGTCTTCCCGCTTGCGCCATAGAGGAAACCTGAGTCCACTCGATCAATCTCCATTCCTAAGCGGAGTGCGTCAGATTCCTTGATGATATTCATCTCCGCTCATGTGTCCAGTATCCCACTACACGGCTTACCCTTTATACTCAGGTTCACACTCCCAGTCCCGACCGATTTCCAATCCATTTTCGTCCCAGGAACCGCCCAATGAGCCTCGACAGGGATGAGATCTCCTAGTCGTACGCTCGCCACCCTTCGACGAGAGAGTCGCGTTTTGAATCCTTCCCTAAGCTTAGGCGCTGAGGCGAGGATTTCCTTTAAATTAAGCAGGTCATTATGACCCTGCAAAAGCCTATCGGCCAAGGCTTCAATGTCTAGGCCATCTTCTAATGGTACCGCGTACTTCTGTTTCCACGAGCTTTCTCCTTTCACTGCTTTCTCTGGCCTCTCTTCCGTCTTTCTCTTCTTTGCGCGCTGGGCGGCTTGCTCCTCCTCTTCTTTCCTTAGCCACTCATCTTCCTCATCCTCCTTGCCTTCGCCCCCCACGTCGATAACTGGCTTCTTCTCTCGTGGCTGACTTTCGCTCGGAGGTTCCTGACAGCTACTGGTATCTCCCTTCTTACTCCTCGTGCATACTGCTTGCGGGAATGTGGGTTGCCCTCGAGGAGGCCGGAATGTAATGCCAGATCCCGGGGTTGATCCCAAGGTCTGACAAGCCGGTTTGACACTCGATGGCCCTGTCTCTAAGCCTAGTAAGAAAACCATCGGCTTCGCCACCTCGTCGCAAATGGACCTCATTTTCAAATTCAACCTCTGCATCTTCTCCACGAGGTCTTCCATTTGCTCCATGGTATCTATGACCCTTCCTTGGCAATACGATTCTTCTTCCTCCTCCTCTTCTATCACGACTGGCTCTTCCCTCCTGATGTCCTCTTCGGACTCACTATTGACCAGTTCCTTCACTTTTATTGTTGACCTGACATCTTCCTCTTGCCAGAGTCGGAACATGGCCGGTGGTGGCCGACCTAGTTCGGCTCGACGAAGCGCCTCCTTGCGCATACCACCTGCAATCTTAGGGTCAATATATTTCCCATGCATATTATAGATATCTCCATCCATGTTTGTTGAGATAAGGCCATTTCCCTCATCTACTTTTCGAATTTGGCAAAACCTGAAGGTATGCCCTTTTAGTGCGCAATGATGGCAAATGGCATTTCTCCAATCGAACCTTGGCCTATTATTCCCGCCTTGCCCATTCCAATTGACTCCACTTCCGCTCCCTTTACCGCCTTGTCCACCATTACCGTTACCCCGTCCGCGGCCTCCATTGCCTCGGCCCTGATTGCTCTGCCCGTTACCTCGTTGGTTCTGACCTTGTCCTTGACCCGCTGCTTGACCGGGTTGGTTGACTCGAGGCGGGGGTACTTGCTGCTGCTGTTGGCCCCCCCCTTGCCAGTTCACTCCTTGAGTTGGCGCATTGGGGTATCCTCCTGCAGCATGCACAGTCGGCCCTCCCACAGGCGGCCCGACTTGGTTGTAAAACGGCAATGGGCCATATGGCCTATACCCCGGCCAAACAGGAGGAATGGTCCCTGGCCAAGGTCCAACCGACGCTGGTCCCTGTGGTGGTGCTGCACTCGTGCTTGCCTGATTGACATTTACTTGGGCTGGCGCGACGACTTGTACTCCTGTATTCTTCCCCGAACCTTGACCACCTAAGAACTGGTTCCTCACCTTTCTCTGACTTTTTATCAGCTTCACCGGTTCTTCTTCCTCATCGTCATCATCATCTCCCATCTGCTCCACCACCTTCTTTGCAGCTTTTGCCTGAGGCTGAGTCAATGTCAAAACCTGTTTTCCTGCCACCTTCTGTTGGTCGGCTTGGTACTTGGCTATTCCATCCGCAATAAGCTGTTGAAGGTTGATACCTTCTCCTTCAGTGACAACTCGGGCCTTTCGCTTTTGCCGTTGTTATTTCATCTGAAACTGGTATACCTGGTCCAACTCCCCATCTGCCAAGCTTTGCTTCACCGTCTCCCAAGTCAACTTCCTCCCTATGGCCCCTCTTTTGGTCAGGGAAACACTATCGCATTCCGTGAAGTTGCTTAGGAAGATGGCACATTGGGACTCCTCGGCCAACCCTGGAACCTTCCTCGCCATCTTTTCGAAAGCCGTCGCGAAGGCACCCACCGTCGTGAAATCAGACCTCTCTAGCCTTTCCAAGTCCTCCGTCGTAAGGAGGCCATCTCCCAACTGATACCGCCTCTGCATTTCTGCCTTAAAGTTCCCCCAATTTCCTGCGGCCTCAGTTGCTACCAGCATAACTTCCGGCCGGATCTCCCACCAGACGTACTTAGAGATTTGACGAAACTTTTCTTCTTCCGTCATCTCGTCAGTAATTTTCTCGAGCAACTCAAGCCACTCTGACACCTTATCTCCTTTGAAGTGGAAGATCGAAACCTTAGGGATGTTGGATCGCGTCACCGCGCGCCCATCCAGTAGAGCAACCAGTTGACCGAACGTAACCGACCGCTGGTCCGCGCCATTGGCCTGATTGAGTTCATCGCCCGCCATCTCGTTCTTCGACAATCAATTCCCTGTCAATATACAACACTTATACATGGTCAACCTAATTACTTTAACAAACCCTTATAACTAGTCCAACCTCAACCTTAAGAGGTTGTGTCCTACTACTAAATTCAAACGTTCAACACTCATACACAAGCATCCACACCTTCATACAATCACACTACGAATTCGTCCACTCCATGCCAAGTCCTAATACTTAGCGTTCCTGACCATGACAGCGAGGCCCTTCTTCGGGTCTGACAATTCCCTTAAGTCGTTACTACAATATCAAAAGTCAAAAACACACTATATCAATCTCTAATCACAAAAGTGTCGTTTTGCCTGGATCATCGTTCTGCACTAAACCCAAGTCCGTTCACTATGGACCTCGGTAGGCAGCCGAGATCCCCGACAATGGCGCCACCTGTCGTGCGCACGGTCCCCGCTGGGAGAACCTTCCCGGCCGCGTCACGCAGGATTGGTAGTATTCGCAAGTCGCTTTACGAAAAGGGAAGTAGCGGAGCCGCTCCGACCGAGTGCGCCAGCTATACCTCCATCGAGTCTCTACGACAGGACAGGGTCTCGCGAGGTACAACTTACCTCCACCTGTGGGAGCTGTCACCATCCCTTGGGTGGGCGTATCCCCGCCGAGCTACTGAACCACACGCGAAAGCTTTTACTTGCAATCACGGAGGTGGCCTAGCCGAGTGCGTTTCTCGTATGCTGTAGCATAGGGGGTACGCGCAGTCCACGCCAAGCTCGGACCCGTACGCGAACCGTCACGCTGGGGCGTTGATCTCCCACGTGCGATTCAGCGTCGGTCGACTAGGACATCATAAATCAACCACGCGATACATGATAAAACAAAGTAACTTATACAAGCAAATTAGCCTAGTCCCTTTTTCATACGTCCTAACCCATAACTCGGAACTGCAAATGTGTCTGAGCGAGGTCTGCGCAGAGTTACATTAAAAGAATCTCGCTGTCATGGGAACCATAACGTTCAGTCATGTGTTCTCACTTACTCTTGCTATCATGACGATGCTTCATGCGTTACCCACATCCGTACAACCTCCCATGAGTTTCGGGGTTGCGTACGACACTCAAATGTCGAAAGCGAAATATCGTGAAGGGTTTCTCCTTCACGATATTGCACGGCTGAAGGATAAGTCGTTCGGCCCTTGCGACACCCCTGTTTTTTAGGTAGTGGGTGGAGATAAGCAAGGGGCGCAGGTCCGCCTCAAGGGGGAAACCTTTTTGTGCTGGACCGGAGTCTGGGACGTCCTGGACAAGGACCTCGAATTCTAGGCTCAGGAGCAACGTTCATTTAGTAATCTTAAAAACAAGACCCCTTTTGAGACGGGGTACACTCGTCCTTCCCCTGCGGAAGGAAAATACGAGTAATCACGGGTTGGCGAGCAATTCGCCGTACCCAAACTAAGTCTCAGTCCGTCCTAAGGTCGAGCGCTAAACCTTGCGCTCGGCTACCCTTGCCTGTTTGCTTGGTGCATACAGCAGGAGTAAAATAGGAAAAAAAAATAAATTGGGCGAGTCTTGGGGGAAATCAGGGAGAGTCATTCTCACAGCCATAGTTGAACCTTGTTACTCACACCCTTCATTCATTCACCCATATCACCCTTAGTTCACGAACAAGCCCTTGCTCCCATACATACCTGCACACAAATGAAGTCCAGAGAAAATCCACACGCAGATGCCACAAAACGTGGTCAACCCCTTTTCTCCCAGATTCATGTCCCACACGCCCCTTTCCGACCCCACTCAACAAAGGCATATCCGCCCATCCCGATTCACACAGCTTTTGCATGGTTATTCAAGAGAGGTTCAAAGAATAGGAACTTTATTCACACAGAAATGCCCTTCGCCTACGGGGTGACAGACATCTGGGCGAGGGTATCATAATGGGTACGAGTTGAGTCGGAAACCGACCTGCTATCAGTCCGATAACAGAAGTTGATGAAGCTCAAGACTTCGAAGAACACTCGCAAGTAGCCTAAACTATTCTCAGAAGGAGAAGAGTCAGACATTTGTCAACAAGCAAAACTGACTGACTTAGCAAAGCGGCCGGATCGGTCAGGAGGACCTCATCTCCAGCCCCATTTCAATGTCTTAGGCAAACAACAAAGCGACCGGAGCAGTCTCAAGGACCTCATCTCCAGCCCCATTTCAATGTCTTAGGCAAACAGCAAAGCGGCAGGTCCTGACCCCGCCCCGTCTCAATGTCCAGGCAATCAGCAAAGCGGAAGGTCCTGACCCCGCCCCGTCTCAATATGCAGACAATCACCAAAGCGGCACGTCCTGAGCCCGCCGCGTTCCAATGTCCAGGCAATCAGCAAAGCTGCAGGTCCTGACCCCGCCTCGTTTCAATGTCCAGGCAACCAGCAAAGCGGCAGGTCCTGACCCCGCCCCGTCTCAATGTCCAGACAATCAGCAAAGCGGCAGGTCCTGACCCCGCCCCGTCTCAATGTCCAGGCAATCAGCAAAGCGGCAGGTCC